CCACCACTGCCTGGCTAGCCACCTCTTCTTACTCTCCAGGAAAGTTCCAGGTGACTCTTAACAGCCAGCCAGCCAGGGACCAGAGAAAGCGCTGCCTGGCTGGTGTAGAGCCCAGGCTGTGAAACCCAGGGAGCTTATCCAGCTTGTCTGTGAGGCCTTCCCGAGCTGAGGAGCCTTGAAGGGGCATCACCAGAGCTTTCGTCCTTTATCCTCTTGTTTTAAACGTTGCCCTTAGTGCGGTGCCCTGCAGAGAGTTTACGGCTGCGCACAGATGATGGAGTTTGTTCCTGGCACAGAGGACAGTGGAGAAGCAGTGTTTAAATACTTTTTGGGTGAAATGTCTCCTGATGGAATGACAGACTCCAGGATGACAGGTGTCCAGGCTCTGTCCCTCATAGGCTTAGGGACAGTTGCCAGGGTCTGGCTGGGTCAGTGAGTGGGGCCAGGATACTGTTTCCGTGCTGACTGGCCCTCTCAGGCCCCCATGTGGCCTCTGTATCCAAAGGAAGGAGCCCACAGAAGACCTGAATCTTACTGGAGTGGTTTAGATCACGCTGGCCTCAGCCGGTGGACATGGGAGAGAGCCAGCCACGTGGAATGTAGGCAGTGGGCTGTGGTGACTTCCTGGCTCCTCTGCCATTGTTCTTTCCTACTCAGCTTTGGGCTAGGCCGTGGCTAGCTCTGAGAGACCCATGGAGATGTACAGACTCCAGGGATACCATGGTCTCTGGGTGGCCTCCACACAAGATGTGACACCTGGCAGTGATGGATGAGCTTCTGACCCCTGAGCTCCCAGCTGACTCCCAGAGCCACCCTGAGGCTCACAGCCTCCTCTGTCCTAACGGCTCACTCTGCTAAGAGCCGGTTCCTGCTCAAATGTGGGTGTCTTGGAGTTTTTAATGAAAATAAAAGACTGCATTATTCAGGAATCCAAACCAGACGGGCCAACAAGACAGAACAAACCCTGGCTTGGGGCAGGGGTGCGTCTTGCCGCTGCCGTGAGAGGGCGGAACCTTCTGGAAGGGGCTGAGTGCCGGGAGGAATGGTACATGCAGAGCTAATGACTCCTTTCAGATGGGTGCTTGCCCCGTTGTCCCCATGGTGATGGGAGGAGGGCGTGGTCCCCGAGCCAAAGTGACCCTGGCCTGAAGAAGATTTGGTGTTTTCTGGGAGCCGGAGCTACAGTGATGCCCTAGGGCACATGAGGAGGGCAGGAGATCTACAAACAGGAAGTAACAGGGTAGCAGGGGCATTCTGGGCTCCTGAGGGTTTCAGGAAGGGGGTGGGCAGCTTGCCAGATTGAAACACAGCTAAAAGGGCGCTGCCTTTAGGTTCCCGATTTGGTAGCTCTCTAGTTCCCAAGATTCCTTGGGTCCCTGTCATTCCTGAGCTGGGACTGATGGCGCAGAGGGAGTGGCTTTTTGCATGGCAAGAACGTGCTGTGGCACCACCCAAGGACCTTGGCTGGCAAGGGTGAGGGACGGCTCGTGTCTTGGTACCTCGATTCTGAAGCTGAGATAAACTCACTCGCCCTCCCAGGTGCTTCTGGGTTCACTAGAGGTGATCGGTCCCCAGAGCTTTGCTTCTGTCCACCTCGACCGAGTCTTGAGCCTTGCTGGCTGGCGAGGGCAGGAGGAGTCACAGGTGACTGTCGTCCCGGAGGACCAAGAGAGGTCCTCCTGTATTGACTGCCTGCCGTGGTAGGGGCAGCTTGCACCAATCCTTGAGGCCATATTGGCCCTCAGACTCAGGAGGCCCAGCACGCTGTGCTGGCTGCTCAGTCGACTCAGAAGTGAGCTGGGTAGAACACGGCTCTGTAGAGGTCAGCACAAGTGTGTTGCCACAGGCTCCGTGGAATGGCTTGATTTCCAGGTCCACCCTGTGGGAGCTCTGCCAGCAGGAGCCTCAGCATGTTATATTTGACAGACTACAAGGGCCACACCAAACAAGTCGGGCACTGGTGCCTAGGGATAGGAGTGACAGGTTTCCTCACAAGGTGACGGGCAACACACAGAGCAGGAGTGCCAGCCCAAGGTCAGACTCAGACGCAGTCCGAGAAGGCCTCAGGCATTTCCTCAAATCACAGGTTGCCAGTGGACACTGACTTCTAGGGAAGTTCTTCTCACAACTGCCCCAGAGAGGAAGGGAAGCTGCAGGCCCACGGTTGGGAATCTGGAGCATGGGGGAGGCCTGTTTCTGGGCCATTGTTGTTCCTGGGGCCCCGCTGTGTGTTGATCCTTGGGTTTCTGACCAATTCCTCCTGCTCTCTAGGAGCCGGAGTGGGGGCACATGGGAGGTACTCTCAGTGGCTGCCTGGGGGACCCGTGTGATTGAGCCCAGTTTGTGATGAGTTCCTTGAGAAGGCAGGTGTTTGCTCCAGGGACACAGTCCCCCCGCACCCCCACTCCAGGCCCCGCGTTCTGCATTCAGCCTGCCCCTGCCAGGGAATGGACCTGAGTCAGATGGGAAGGACTCCAGCCTGGGCCTCTCTCCTCTTCAGGTTCTTAGCCCACAGACAATGTCCTCTCTCTGCCTTACCTTAGATGTAGAGATCTCTCTTTAGCATGGGTTCTCTCCCTGGCATTGTGGCTGTTATCATCTGGGCCACATAGTCTCCATGCTTCTCCCAGATCCTGCATGAATGACACTATGCTGTCCAAAGGGTCCGAGGTCTCCGCTCCTTGGCTTCTGTTCTCTGTCCCCAAAGGGTGATACGGGGACACCCTGACCTGTGCTCTTGTGGACACACAGAGTGATGCCAGATGGGACCCAGGGCTGGGCGGGATGGAGATGATGGCCTCCAGTAGGCTAGGACCTTGGCTCTCCCTGAGTACACGTGTGCACAGGTGTTTCTATGAGCGTGTGTGTGTGTGTGTGTGTGTGTGTGTGTGTGTGTGTGTGTGCGCAAGTACACCTATGTGGGAACGTGTGCCCATGAGTGTGTGTGTATATGCATGTGTACTGTAAAGACTCCTGATGGAAGCCAAAGCTTAGAGCCTGAGCTATGAATCCGTCCATGGTCCTCATGAGTGAATGCTGAATCTGTGATGTTCCTGAAATGAGCAACCAGGTGGGGGAGGGCTAAGCATGAGTGAATGCTGGAGGAGGTGCGGGCACTCAGGGCCGGAGGGCCTCTTGCCCTCCTCCACAGGCCCCTTGAAACGGGACCCATTGCCATGGCATTCCCTCCATCCCTGGCTCGTGGCTTTCCCCGGGCATTT